CCTCGGACTCAGAGAGGCTCTGTGATGCTGCTGCTTTGGGCCCTGGCAGGATGGGTTAGGGTCTCCATGCTCTGGGTGGCAGTTTGACAACACAGGTGTCTATTGGGGCCAGTGGGGGAGCTGGCTCCCCGGAGGGCTAAGCCCAACCAGCCATTCCTCCCCATCCCTGCATATTTCTCTCCTCCTGCTCCCTCACATCATCACACAAACATACACATAGGACCTTGGGGGGGTGGACAAGTCAGGGAGTGCGGGTATGGACCCCATTTCCGCATTCCTGTGGCAACCTGCCCCCCAAATTTATTTGCACCTTAAACTCTTCCACCAACGATATTCCACTCAAACACACACACATAGGGCCTTGGGAGTGAGCACATCCAACGGCATTTGGCAGGGGGATTTCTCAGCCTCATCCCAAGTGCCGGTGCCCACTTCCAATTTTAAACCGCACTTAGACACTGAGGGCTGTGGGTGCAAGTGGGGTGGGGTGGTGGCATCAGCTGGCATAGGCCAGACGATGCCCGCACTGCCCGCTCACCACGGCCATGGAATACACCTCATCAACACTCACTAACACCATATTGGAGCAGGCAGAGGGAGACTAGGGGTCTTAGCACACCTCTGTTGTTGCTTGGCTTCCTGGGGCTGGATGTTACGTCTTGGCTATGCTAGGAAGGTAAGGAGGTAACATAAACCCGTGACTAAATGGAATGGGAGGAGTACAATCATTTAATACAGAAAAACAGCAGATAAACTTACAATATACAGATAATCACTAACAGAGAAAAACCTTACCAAACCAAATAGGGCATTCACAATACTAACTTAAAGCACTCATAGCTGTGAATATACCAAACAAAAACACAGGCTCAGAAGGACTTCAACTGAAAGAGGGCAATAGCATTTACTATCCCTAAATCTAACCAGAGGAGCTTCTCTACACAAACCACCTATAGGTCTAACCAAGCTTCTAAACAACAATATCTCACTAGTAATCCTTCACAGTCGTTTAACAGCACAAAGTTCCAACAAAGCTGACCAAGTGGGGGGAAACAGCACACCATCAGCTGCTCCCCAACTGCAGGCAGACCAGGAAGTCTCTTATAAGCCACCCAGCAGCTGATTGCTGGATGACTCCCAGCTGGTCCCAGGTGATTGTTGGATGATTCCCAGCTGATCCCAGGTGATGGTGGAGGAACCAGTAACAAAGCCAATTGAATCCCCTGGGCTGCAGGCTGAAGAATATGGAGGGCTGGGCTGTATACTCCGACAAAAACAAAACTATGTACATAGACTTTTCTTGATGCATGAAACCAGGGATCGTAACACTGGAGGCTAGGAGGGAGATCCGGCCGTCGGGTTTGGGTCTGGGGTGGTGGGTTGCTGTGCTCAGCGTTGGGCGGGGGAGCCTGCTCATCAGCACCCCAGCAGAAAGGGTCGAACTCTTGGAACCGGTAATGGTTATACCCCATGTGCTGCAGTACCGGGACCAGAGTGAATAGGGTGTGTTTGGGGAGCGTGAGCGGGTGTCCGGCGTGCATTTTTGTAAGTCTTTGGTTGTATGTGTATGTGTGAGCATGAGGGAGGGAGTGTGTGACTGTGTCTGTGTATGACTATATATGTCAGGTGGGTCCTTTGACTCCTCCCTTCTCATGGGACTTCTTTTGATGATATAGATCTTCGTCTCCCCTCTCCCTGCCACACCTGGTGTGGAGTGCGGTGCCTTAGTCTACCTGGGTCGTGGCTCCTGGGTCAGGGGGTTTAAGATTTTTGGCATCTGCCTGACCAATCCCGGTGGCTGCCTGGTGGGGTCTGGGTCCCTGGGCTCTGCTGGGTCCCTGGCGGGGGCGGTCGCCCCTGGGTCCCAGGGCCTTTGGGTCCTGGGCTCGGCCGGCTACGGGGTGGAAGGCTGCGGGTGGGCCTGTGGGCTTGCCGCCGATATCTCCCGGGACTCTGCCGGCCGCTGGTTGTGGCCCCCCGGGGCGATCATCTGTGCCTCTCGAGGGGGGTGGGGGCTTTTCTGGTCGCAGTCCCCCTGGAGTTCCTGTGCTCTGGGACAGCTCCTGGATCTCTGGGACTTGGAGCTCCCTACGTCTCCTGCACATCTTTAGGGGGCGGATCTGTGGTCCCTCACACTCTCTATTGGACGCTCCTATAGAGAAACCTTACATATAAAAGCGCGTGTACACACACAGGTGCTCACATGGTGCTCTCATAAGTATGGACTTGGGCACGTTCAACACAGGTCTTAAGGCTATGGTGGGCACTTAATGCACTGTGATTTATTATCGTGTGATTGTTCAATTAAACAATGTTGATTATATATCTCTTCATCAAGTTGACGCAGTGATAGCTTGATCTTGTATTGTTGTTGTGTTCCCTTTTTTCCTCTTCTCTCTTTCTGCAGGTCTAGAAGCAGACTCTTGTTCATTATTGTTTATTTTTATGTTCATTCTGCTTATTAGGAGGAACTGGTTCACATTATCCATCCATCCTTCTATCTATGTATCTATCTATCTATCCATCTATCCATCTATCTATCTATCTATCCATCTGCAGTAAAGAGTACAGCTACATGTCAAAAATGTCTCACAATTATAATTAATGTTAAATAATTAAAATTCCATCTGGGGTGGGCAATGTGTCATTCACAATAATACCAGTTATGTTTGGCCAAGAAATAAGTCTATCATGTTACGCTAGTTTCATCATGTAATTGCCACTAAACAGAGGATTATGTTCATGTGGGTCATTAGCATGAAGTTATGAAAGCAAACATGGCTGGAATCTTGTTATTTTTCTTCTTTTTCTCTAAGTAAATGTGCTTCTGTAAGAAGAGGATGCCCCCACTGTGAGATTAATAAAGTCTACTCTACTCTATTCTATTATGTTACTGTAAGTCATATCAGCTAGTAGGAAAAAAACGTTTGAGGAATTTTAGCCTTTCCAGGCTTCCGTACCAGTAACCTGGTTCAATTCAATTCAATTCAATTCAATTCAAAAATACTTTATTAATCCCAGAAGGAAATTGATTGCTGTAGTAGCTCAGAATAATAATAATAATCAAGTCATCAAAGAGTTGTTGTATATTACAATGGCTGTTGGCAGGAAGGATCTCCAGTAGCGGTCAGTGTTGCAGCCAAACTGAAGAAGCCTCTGACTGAAGACACTCTTCCGTTGTCGGACAGTCTTGTGAAGAGAATGCTCAGGGTTGTCCATCATTTTCTTGATTCTCTGGAGAATCCTTCTTTGCATGATCTCCTCCAGTGGTTCCACAGTCGTCCCCAGAACAGAACCAGCCTTTGTTATTAGGCTGTTGAGCCTTTTCAGGTCCCTGCTTCTGATGCTGCTACCCCAACAGACGATGGCTGAAGAGATTACACTCTCAACAACAGACTTGTAGAAGATCTGCAGCATCTTGCTACAGACATTGAAGGACCTAAGCGTCCTCAAGAAGAGCAGTCTGCTGTGTTCCTTCTTGTAAACAGCTTCGCTGTTCTTTCTCCAGTCCAGTCTGTTGTCCAGGTGAACTCCAAGGTATTTGTATTCCTCAACCACCTCCACTTCTTCTCCCATGATGGAAACAGTGTTTGACTCCACCCGGTTCCTTCTGAAGTCTAAAATCATCTCCTTTGTTTTGGTCACGTTGAAGGTCAGATGATTGTTCCCACACCATGCCACAAAGCGCTCCACCAGCTCTCTGTACTCAGCTTCCTGTCCATCTCTGATACACCCGACAACTGCAGAGCAGAGTTTTTACCTGACAACGGCACAACACTGACAGTTTTAGGCAGAAATTTTAACTAAAATGCATTAAAGTGTTCAACTATTAACTACACGTGTCTGCAGCATGATTAGACACATATTTATACAGTTTATCAGGAAAAAAAGTTGATTTGGGGGTGACTTGCTCTTTAACCTTCATTTGCAGCCAGGACTGTCGCATACACATGATGTTGTTCCTGAGGTCAGCATTATTTATAAATATAGTTGTATATAAGCGTTTTTCTGCGAGGGACCCATATAATCAACATGCTGTCCTCCATATGAACATGTTGAATAGCCTTAAAGTACCTTATTTAGGGGAAGTATGAACGATGAACTACTTTATATCATAGACCAGGGTCAGATAGCCCCATTTGAACAATTATGTAAGGTGCTTTATATTTTTTACTGTGTACCCCAGCTTTAATGCTATGTGACTCATAAGATATTTTTTAACTGCACAAATTAAATAAACTAAGATCCTTTTTTTATGTGGTCTTTTATTAGCTAACCACCTCAGTCGGAAAGGTCAAGTCAGTGTTTGACACACCAGAGGAAGTGAGATGCTCCAAGATCAAACAAAACCAGCTTCCCTTCATCCGTTGGTCATAACTGAGTCTCCTCTGACTGCAACATCAGAACTGACGCACACATGTTGACGTGTTTTATCCACATTTAGAAAGCAGAGTGACTCCAAGTAACATCACATCTTATTTAGGTCACTTTGGGGCTTTAAATCGTTCACACTGGCGTCTAATTTAATTAATAAAGTTTACAACCTGACAAAAATGTAGCCTTTGACTTACATTAGAAGGAGAAGCACAGGTTTACAACTAAAACGCCAAACATGCACAGCTGTTTAATGAGCCGGCTGCAGCCCTCGTTAACACACCTGTGCTTTCCCTCTGAGTGTGAATCTGCTTGTCTGCTTTGGAATAGGTCTGTTCTGTTTTCTGTTTGGTTTCTGAAGGATTTCTTGTTGTGCAGTGATTGTAGCTAAACCTGCCTGCTGTAGGAATGTGTAGTTTAAGCAAAAATATTCATATTTTAAAGTAAATGTTTAATTTGCTTTTGAATATTTCAACACACACACACACACACGTAGAGAGAGAACTCCCATGTGCCAGTGATTTGACTTTGTTACAAGTAGTAGAGATAGTAGTAGTAATCATGTTGAGATGAGGCTTTAGCCTTGTAGTGAAAATCCTGTTTTTGTTCTTTGTGTGTGTTCTCAGGTGAAGGTGATGTCGTGGTGTGTGGTTTTGGAGAACAGGATGACAGCTTCAAAGCTTCTCCTTCCCTTCCTCATTCTCCACTCATGTTACGGAAGTAAGTCCTACGGATGTGGTGATTATATGAGCAGTTTATTGAAATTGTAGCGTTTAATTTTGTGAGTTTTACCCTGCGAAACAAATTTCCAGGTTAAACCATTACTCTACAATCGTTTTCCTGTGACAGTGTTTTCCCTAATTTACACTGGAAGCATCAGCGTTTCGGAACGGTTTACTTGCGAGTTTCTCTGCACACACCGGGAGAAGCTGCGGAGCGTCTTCTCTTTCGTCCTCGCTGGACTCACAAGATCATAAAATACCTGAAGACCTCAAACGTCATGGTTTGTTTACGTCATCCACCATAAAACCAAAAAGAAGGAAATCACGTTTGATATCGCTGTTTGATGTCATATATGATGTTCCTCTCCACTGTCAGGATTAAAGCCACGAAATCACACCGCTGCACTTCTGGAACGATGCAGGGAGTAAATAAGCCGTTAGGTCACTTGCATTGATGTATCTTCATAGATTTGAAATTGCATTGCTGCAATAGTCTTTTATTTTGGGAAAAAATAAATAAACAGAGGCTCTGCACTGAAATCGTCTGTGATTTCCTGTCTAGCCGTATGATAATTTTTGAAATTGACGAGTCCCAGAAGCGGCTCGTGGCAAAAATAGAACCCGATCCCATTTTTTGCGGCACAGCGAGCTGCTTCTGGGACCCGCCTGAAAATGTCCTCGTTGCGGCTGGTTTGAATCACCCACTTAGTCTATAACGGATTCTATCTGAAGCAGTGACGTTCTGCTGCCGTTCCGCACCGCTGATGCTTCCAGTGTGAAGTAGAGGTAACGGGCAGTCCTGTAGTGTACCAGTGTAACTGTGTAAGGATGCAGCCATTTCAACCAGGGATTAAAAACGAAAGACGTTTGATGATAGCCGCGTTAAAATAAATATGAATTTTGAAAACTTATGGTGGTGTAAAACATCCAGAAAATAACTCTTAGATTAAACGTAAGCTATCTGAGCTGCTTAAAGATGATATCAACACTTCTGTATTTGCTTTTTGTTAACTGGCCAGTATTTGCATAGTGCCTTCTTAAGCTTGGTTTATGCTTGACGCATTCACTTTCCGCGCGGTGATGCGGCTCGCGGCTGGAACGCGCTTCACAACTCGCAGCGTTTATGGTTCGTGCGGCTCGTCTCTGCGGTGAGACAATATTCTCCCAAACTGTAGGGGGCAGCATGGAGCTCTACGGCATGCATCCAACACTACACCATAGTAGAAGTAGAAAGTACTGTTTACAACATGTAAATCCAGCATTTTTAACAGCGTCCTCGTCTTTTCCGACAGTGCGAGCTATTTCTCTCCAAGAATTATTAACAACATGTTGATCACGGTGATCTCTGAGAGCTGAAGCATACAAATGTCTGTATTTACGAACCTCTGCCATACTAGTTCTTGCCGGTCCGCCATGTTTTTCCACGTCCGTCCGTCCGCGTGGTTAGAAAATTTCCAAGGTGCGCGTTGCGGAAATCTTGAGCCATGCGGAGATGCAGTGGAGGGGCGTGGTTGTTAAAATGACGCAACTTTTCCGCGCGGAGCCGTGCGGACCTCGCGGACGCGTCAAGCATAAACCAACATTTAGGGTTCTACAACCCCCCCCAAGGCGCTTCACAACACAAGTAGTCATTCACCCATTCACACACACGTTCACACACTGGTGTGGATGAGCTACGATGTAGCTACAGCTGCCCTGGGGCGCGCTGACAGACACGAGGCATTTGGTTCATTCTATGTTTGCTATTGATGGATTTAAAGAGGTTGTTTTGGGGAGACCATAAAATCTAAAATTACTTAGTCAAGTTTCAAACCAACAACTCTCCTGTTTGGGGGCAACTTGGTCCTCATACAACCAGTGTTGGTCATTAATAAAAGTGTTCATTAATGACTGTATAGACTTTTAGTTTGGTTGTTGTCTACAAAAGGACTAAAATTTACAAAACGTCTCCCAAATGCAAGAAAAAATGTTCTAGCTCTTTATGTTGACAGTTTCCTGATAGGTCTGTTCACCTTTGTCCTGTCTCATTCCTCTCATCCAGCCCCTTCATTCAGCTCAGTCTTGTACGTGGTCTCATGGTACGGCTCATAAAAAAGACAAATACTTGCATCCATGTTTACTACGACTCCAAAAGCCTTGATGTTTCGCAAAGTCGTGATCGCTGTTTCTTATTGAGACAGGCGACATCTCTAACCCCACACGTCTCTGCAGCTGCTGAAAACATTATCAAGTAACTGTCACAACCTGTTTCCATCAAGCACAATGAATTTATGAAGACTTTAGCTGTAGTCTCGCAGCCTCTCATCATTAACTCCCATCTCGGTTTTTGGCCCTTATCCCGACACGTTTAAACCCGTTTTTTCCTCTGTGCTGATCTGTCTCCGTTTCTTGCGTCTTCCAGCGCACTGACCTTGTTCTTGTCTTTAATGTTGCCTCTCTGATCAAGCAAATTGGGTTGATGATTGTGGCTGTAATTATTTTGTTGCTGTAATCTTTCCGCATTCTTCCACCCAGCTTATCGTGACTTAATGTAATTAAGCCACAGGTACAGACAGGATCTTATTAACTCTCTTTCTTGCCACCTTCTATCCATTGAAGCATGGTCCATGTTCTTGGCACCTAAGAGCCGCGGTGACAAGCAAGAGATGAGGATCTTATTCCGCTCAGACGGGCACATGACGGCACAAAAAGCTCCTTTCAAAGCAGCGATTCACTCTATCAAGCAGAGTTGCATCAAATGGAGTTGAGCTGCCCCTCGTCAGCCGAACTGTGTCTGCTGTCTAACGTATAGCTTAGCTGATCAAAGACCATTTGTTCTCTGAGCTGAAAAAGACCGCTTGTATCACAAAAGCACAGAAACCTTCCCAAATACAAAAATTATTCCATTACTCACCTAAAACTGGAGCATCCTCCCTACTACAGTGAAATCAATAACGTATAGTTTCAAATTTGTTCTAAAGCTTCAGAAAGGGAACTGGACTTCCTTTTCCTGAAGGCACTCCCCATCCAAAGAGCTTCATCCACTCAATTAGAAAAGAGCAAAGTACAGCTTTTAAACTGTAGGAGTTATGCTTCATGAAAGTGATTATCTGTATTTTTTCTAGCCATAAGGGGTAGTACATATACCTAAATCACTGCAAGCAAGCGGTACTTTTGTGTTCAAGTAAGACTATACCAATGGATGGCCACTAGGGTCAAAAATCCCTGGGAGCACACACCAGACTGCCTTTCGTCACTGGCAACAAGCGAAGAGGTAAATATGTAAAACAACATTGTTTATAAATGGTTCAAGTTTTGTAATCAGTGTTGGGGTTATTAGGAGCGAACAATTAGTAAGCTTCAACTTACTTTTGGATTCTTCAATAAATTCTGTAAATATGTAAATATTTACTGATTTATTAATTAATTAAGATATTCTTAGATATACGGGGCACCATTCCCCTTTAACCGGGGAAAAATTGAATCCAAAACTCTTATCAGTCTTTCTTGAAGTTCGTAGAATCCTTGGAGCAGAGACTTCTCTTCGACACAACAAAGCTACTGGAGACGAAAATCTGAATTTTATAACGTTTAATTAACAATTTGTCAAATGAATAAACAGTGGCATAAATGAATAATAACCATGTGATATAATAAAAGGATGTATATTCAAAATAATGTTCAAGGTGTTTTGTGTGTATGTATGTGTGTGTGTGTGAGATGAATGGGTCTTTGTTCCTCAGAGTAGGTGGGGGGAGTGAGCTGTGAGTGTGTGTGGGGCTCTTCCCCTCCCCTCGCATCCCACAGGAGACCTGGATGTGTAAAGTTTTCAACTTTCCCGAACACTTAGTGGCTTAGAAATCACTCAAAACATTTCAAAGGATCATGAAACAACACAAAAGATTAATCACAAATAATATCTTTTAGTTTAACCACGTGGCCAAGCAGAAAACATTTAAAGATACCAAACAATGATCAATAAGCAGTTTATTCTTTCAAAATGACCCGAAGGACGAATTGGGAGCGAAAGAGGAAAACACGAAGCTACTTTTTAAGCAATAGCGCGATTTTATTGCTTATTCTGGACTATAGAGGAAACGGGAGAAGAAAAGGAGAGAGAGAAATGAGCTTTCTGATCACCAGAGCAGCAAGGCGTCCCCAGCTGTTTGATTTGACGGTTCTCCGTTTTTCTCCGCAGTTTTCAGCGTCATCCGTCGGTTTGATGCTTTCTCCGTTGTTTGGCTCCACGAGTGTTTCTCCACGGGCTGGACACAAAGAGAACGAAGTTTCTTTTGTGCTGAGTTTGACAACTTACAGCGTCTCTGAGAGCTGGATGGAGCTCCGCTCGTTCCCAGTCAGGTCCCGATGGAGTTAGAGTGGTTTCCAGCGGTTGCGTGGCTCAACTTGGGCACTTAGAGCTTCCGCGTGCTCAAGTTGTCGGAGCGTTCGACAAGCGTGTCCTTACCGCCAGGTATCCTGGGCAAAAGAACGAGGTTTCTTTGTCTCTGCTGAAGATTTATGGTCTTAGTTCGCGGGAAAAGCTCCACGGCTTCCCGCACATGCGCAGAACGTGTTTCTGGTACTAGGCGGTGACATCATCCCAATGCTTCCGTGTGCAAAGCATCATGGGAAATGAAGTTTCTTGGCGCTGATGTGGTTATTTGCTTTTCAGAGCAATTTAAGCACAGTCATTTTGGAGAAAATCACTGCATAGTAATTTCCTCATGAGGTCAGACCCTCAACATCAGGAAATGTTTTGTCCTCACAGGCTCCTGTAGAATGAAACATGGTGTCTAATATGGCGTCACCCAGAGACTTGGACCTGCTCCCATGTATTTTAGACCTGATTTTTATGGTTATATGTTACAAAGCCGCCAATATTTTTCTACAACGGGGCATCATGTCATTCATTTTCAACATTTCAATGAATATTTCTAGAGATTAATGGTAGAAACGACACATTGTCACTTTAATGGTAAATCTCCGACTTGCACACACTTCCACAAGTATTTTGTATAACATCCCTGTTCATTTGAAGTTGTTTTGCCCACTAGTGAGAAGACATGCCCTTAAGTCCATCGACAGGTGAAAACTAAAGTAAAAATGTTGTTGCTTAAATTTAACAGGTATTTGTCAAGCAAGACAGAACCAGCTCTCAAAGCCTCCATCCTCCTAGCCAAGCAACACATTCTCACACCCGAAGCGTTGAAAACTGACAATGGGTGACCAAGCGTTTGTTTCCCACTCATTGGGAGGTCCAACGCGTCGGCAGGCAACGTGCTGTGCCAGAGCGTTGGTTTCCGATGTTCGCTGTAAAACTGAGATCTTAACCTTTATTTTTAAGATTTTAACTTAAAGGGGATATAATCAGAGGCGGAGCTGGCCTAAATGGCGCCCTGTGCGAGATCCCACCCCCCACCCCCCCACCCCCCCCCTCCCACCTCCAGGAGCCCGCTGCCACTCCGTTTTTCATGGGGTAAATAATACGTAGCTCATTTCCCGAGTCCAAAAAGAAAGAATGGTCCTACCAGCTCGCCACTTCAATATGAAGAAGATCAGTTCAACATGGGGAAAAAAACCTGACCTGTAGGCCAGAGAAACGTTCATTAGCACATCAAGTTCGATTCAGTTTACCGGTAAACATATATCACGAATGTACAACAGGTCAATTATTAATCATCTTGGCTACGCAGCTCAATCTATGCATTCCAGTAGCGTTTGCTACAAACAAATACAAAAACAACAATAAAGGAAAACAACTGTCTGACAGACAGCATAGCCGAATTCAAGGCAACACATAACAATAATCATTCGATTGCTCTTGGTTTCAAGTTAAGCCCATTAAAGTGCTTAAGTAAATAAAAGTGTTTCAAAAACAGCGTTTTTGAACCGGAGTTCTGCTCGTGGTGGGAACTCCGAACAAGGTCATTTTTTATAGCGAAAACGATCGACTGGTCACTGACAAGTAAAAGGGTGTTATTGGTAGATGTTAAGAACACTTACCGCTGAGGTAAAATGAGAGTATAAATGAATTGAGGGGAGAAAAACGCTTTGTTTTCCAACGTCATTCTACAAGCAACAAGCTTACAGCCACGGCAGGAGCAGCTTTCATGGTTGCCACGACTTGGAAGGAGCCAATCAGGAGAGGGACCTCACATCAACTGACGTGGGTCATGTGACAGGGAGTAGTTGACATGGGTTACATTTTGTTGTGCTTTTATTACAGAAATATTATTATTATCATCACTATTATTATTAAGAACATGTGATTTCTATGTTTTGTTTATGTATTGGTTGATGCTAAAAAAAAAAATTTTTTTTTGAAAAAAAAGAAAAAAAAAGGAAATCAAATGCCGCCCCCTGCAGACTGCCGCCCTGTTCAGCCGCACATGTTGCACATATCAAGCTCCGCCCCTGGACATAATGTGAAACTCACCTTTTGCATCCTTTTGCGCCACCATGTGGGTCTCTGCTGCCTCTATAAACAGGCCAAACCTGAATGAATAAACATCCATCCATTTTCTGTTCCAGGAATTAGGTCCAAAAGAACTTTTTAGAAAACTTGGTCAGTTATGTCATTCTGACCAGTCAAGTCCACCATGGAGCAGACTCTGATGTACTGTGTGTGCCATACGTTATGTGCATATGTGTAAAGTCTCCTTGTTTTCCTTTTCCACAGATCCCAATCAGCCACCACAATTCACAAACTACTTCTTCTCAACTTACCTTCTCATTTATGAAGACACACCTATTAGTAAGTCGAGTGTCAGCGTGTTGCATTTGATGTGCTGTCTGAAGGAAAATCACCATTTTTTTCCTTTTGTTTTTAAAATGATTTTCCATCCTTTGTATCCTCTGAATTCCAATCACCAAACAGAGAAGAAACACGGTGGTAACAAGCTCTGACAATGATAGCATTTGATGCCTTTCATCAGGTTGTTTTGATGTTTGGTCTGTTTTTTGTTTTCTATCAGGATGAGAGAGTAAAGTCTAGTTATCTGAGATATTCTTAATATTGAAAACAAAGAAGCTTTTGGATGTTTTACATCTGTGCAGTGATGTGCTGTTCATATTTATGATAATTGTTATGGCTGCGTGGTTATTTTCCATGTCTTAGTTCTGGTGAAGCCGGTGTTGGATAACGACACAGCCATCCGGTAGAAGGTTGGATCCACCCTTGTGGATCTATTATTCCCTTACTTTTTTCAGTTTTGCTCGTTGCGGTGATTGACAAGGCAATTGGAAGATGTCAGGCTTTTCATCATCGCCTAAGCTGTCGGTGGCTAGGAATATATTTTTTTATTGGATAGAATTTTTTTTTTTAAGTTTGTTTTTTCCTCCCAATCTTATGACCTTTACTCTTTGTTGGTGTGTCAACACTCCTAGTGTGAGGCTTGGTGTATTCACGAATGCTGACTAGTTTGGAGTGATTTTCAGTAAATAGGAACACGTCGGTCGTGTATAGCCTGTCATTTCTAGTCTTTCTTTCTCCCAAAGTTCAAATATCAAACATTGGCACTTGCCCAGTCATCATCGCACAGCACCTTCCATCTATTATCCTTTAGTGTCACCATCATTATTATTATCTTAGCTGAATGTTTTACAATGCAGCCATAGAAGGTCACACTTTCCACCATGCACACAATAAATCCTCATCATTGTGACCTCAAACGGCCTTGCTTTATGCCCTTTCCACGTTTGACATCTTTGTCCAAAATATGACATGGACTCCCAAATGAAAAGGACATTGTTTCCTGAAGCCAGCAAGTACACCACGCAGAAAAGTGCACGTATGTGTTTCTCCAACCAACATGCTCGTACTGCCCTCTGGCTATGAATTACTGTTCTCTCCTAAAGCAGTTGGGCTTCAGTCCAGTACCACCCTCCACTGGTCCAATGAGCTGTCAGTCATGTCCTTGGCCTGGCCCGTAATGACTCCCTCACTGATGTGATTGTGAGAGTAGATAGCGATCAGACAGTGACAATTTGTCAAGATTATTGTTTATTAGCTCAGCAGATGTCCTTATCGAGGAGGTCCTCCAATTCATGAACACAAACTGCTTCAGAGGCAAATGTTTGTGCTGTGGCCTCAGGCGATGTGACTTAAAAAGGAAAATCCGATTTTTGGAGCTTGGCTCTTGTTGTCTCCACCAATCTGTCATGACCTACAGTTGTTTAGTTGATCTCATCTTACATCTTGTAAAAATTAACCCATTCCTTCAGTTTCCCAGCCTTTTTGACACTCTTCTAATACCTTTTCACAAACCAATGTCTTGATCTCAATTTTTTTGTTTTGAGAATTTCATTTACTCAGTCACTGCCAGCAGTTTCCTTATCAGAAAAGCCCTTCGCTGCCAGCATTTTTCAGTGTTTTCACTGTTTTTTTTAAGAGTCACAGAACGTTGCGCTCTATGATGTTGTCAACGCCGCAACTAACAAAACAAAGAGTAGACTCACCTCTGTAGCGTCACTGAATGGCCTGATTCTTGACCCTCAGGTCAGAGACACAGCCTGGGTCACCTTGATCCTGGCTGCTACGACAATCTACAGTGTTTCTTTCACAGGAGACTGAATGTCGGTCTACCACCCCTTTCATCTGACTGCCTTTATCTGACTGCTGTTCCATCCGCAAGATGAAGGACTCTTCAAGATTTAAAAGAATCATTTTTAATAAACTCTTTTCACTGTCGATTACAATGTTCATAAATAATCATCATGGTTCATTTTAACGGTGTTTAATTACTGAAATGAATTATTATTATTTGGTTAATAATAATTATTATATATGATAATCAGTAATTTTTAACAGTGACAAGATCATCATGTGCACTTATACACACCATGCAGGACACAGTAAGTCAGGTTAAGGTTAACTGCACTCACATGTCTTTTTCCATAACACCAGAGCTTTCTATCTTGGGAAGGCGGGTTTCTGAGGTATGTTAAAATCTCTACATGTGAAACCTGATTCGTAGACCAGGAAATGCCCTTCTTATAAAACAGAACTCTCTGCATTTAGCGAGTGAGTTCTAGAGAAGTTGGGACGGCCGCCCAACGCTCTTTAACCAACAAGCGATCTCTGTCACGCTGGCAAAATTGCCACGACACAACAAACGACACCTGCAGAACCAAGCTGACGCTACGAGATTCCTTAAGAATCTGCTCAGACGCAAACCAATTCCACACCTGTGTGCCTGCGGCATCTCTAGGACCAGAGAGTCGGTACCATTGGTCTCCCCTACCGGACCGAGTACCCGGAGGCTGATCATCATCCTCCCTTGACCTCCGGATCTACCAGAGGGTCGTCTGAACGGTGAGGTAGAACACAGATTGCATCTGAATGCTGTTTGATAACAACAACTTAGTTAGTTGCAACCAAATTCCTTTTCACCCAGAACGCTCTCTCCTTCAAGATACACGTTCTGAGACATCACGCATTCACCAGCAAGCAAAACACACTTCATCGTTGATCCATCCAAACAAAGAGTTGTTTTAATACCAAAGCTTTTATAAATTGTCACATTTTAAATTGTTAGCTATACATTTCTTAACTTTGTAAACTTGACTCTTCATTGAAATAAACACAGAGTGGGTGTATATTGATCACTGAACGAACAAAGATCTTTAGATCTTCTGAATTAAAAAATAACTTTGCTATCAAATTAAATCTTTAAAATTAAATATTAATCTTTTGATTAAGCATAGACCAAGCAAGTTGGTGTATGAATTTACAACTATTATATACATATATCCGAATATGTACACATGCATGTAAAGTTCCTTCATTAATTTGTTTGATCATTCTTAGGAATTAAAACATAAGCTGAATAGCAACAGCCTTTAATTCCTAAATATGTAGTTTATCAAGGCTACACCTCTTACATTAGGAAGAATCCATGCATTTCGAGCGTTATCCTTTTTTTTTTCATAATCCGTTGTTGAATTGTGATCGGCAGACCCTTTTTTCCGGTTCGCGCCTCACTTTTTTTACAGGAATGGCCCAAAACGATCAAACACATGGAAGTTCTGCTTCCTGATCACGTGATGTGTGACGTATATGCAGATGATGATCGGCTTTAGAGCTGAGATGTTTGTTCTCATGGTGCGGGGGCTCGTTCCGACGCTCACACAGTAAAAAAAAAATGCAGATGACGACTTTAGTCGTCATTGGCAGTGAACGGTTGGATTTAAAATGACGACTTTCGTCATCAATGGCAGTGAATGGGTTAAACTGAGCAGAAAATATAATCGTTCCAATCATAAAATTATCAATAAGTCATCACCCTTTTCAAGTACCTAATCAGCTCACCTGCATCTCTTCTGTAATCACCTTACTCTATTTTGATTTAAACTCTTTTCAGACCTCCTGTTTGTCCCTCTTTGTTCCATTTACAGCTTCTCCTCATCCTGTTTGAATTCTCACCACCTGGTTGCCCCTGTCAGGGTTTTGTTCAACCACATTTCATGACCAATTATAATTGAAGTAAAACGACAACTGTCTGCACAACATGAGCCCAACGATCAGTTTACCACCACGACTATTAAAGGTCACATGAAGCTCTGATGGTGCACGCCAGTGATCTAACAGCATATGGTTCATGTTACTGGGCTGAGTGATGTGACACCAACAAGTTGCCTGTCTAACAATTTGTTGTTTGACATTGGCATAAAGAGACCACTAATGCTGTCCAGCAGAGACGGGCAAATACGGTCCTCTAGTGTCGATTATCTCATGCACATGCACACACTGAGAACACTTCAGGGCCCTTCCTAGACAGTGGCTCTCTGACTTTAGATGAACACCATCTAACTCAGCAGAGTCTACTCTGTGTGAGTGCTGTACTTTTCTTATTTAGGGAAATACCTCCAAACACGAATATTTGCTCTTTCTGTCATTTCAGAAACAGGAGATGTAACTTTGGAATGGTTTCAGGTGAATTCATCCTTCTGTTAAATCGTACCTTTGCCTTCTTGATAAATCTGTACAAATGAATGGGTTCATAATGGAGTGGTCAGAAAGAGCCCAGAAACCTATTTAGACCCATTTTGGGCCATTTTGAACCCACCGTGTTACTAAATCATGCATGTCTTACAGAGGCACTCTTGTCATTGATTTGTAATAAACTCCTAAAGGAAAACAAACTTTCTTTAGTCATGCGTATGAAAGTACACAGTTTTATTATCAGCCTGATTAGAATGATCATTCAAAATTGCAGCCTTACAGATTTTCTGAAAATTACCTAAATAAGTATTTTAAGTTGCTGTTATGTTCTAGCAAAACATTAAACATAGCCTGGCAAGTCATCCTCCATATGTGAATAGAAAGTCTAGCCACGACCCATAGACAGATCTCAGTTGTGGGACGGAATTTACGATTGTCTTTCAAATTGTCTCCACACGCTATTGGACAACCAACAACGTGACACACTGACCGTTACGGATGTCAGTCAACAGGACAGTCTGCCATAATCCGTCAAAGGTGCCTGTTTTATTCTTAAATCGGTTGTATGTAGGGATGGGTACCGAATTCGGTACTTTTTAAGGTACCGACCGAATGCCATAGTACCGACCGAGCACCGATTCACGTCGTTTCAAACGGTGCCTCGTTTCGGTACCCGTCCTTCATAACGAGAACTTGCCAAGACAGCTGCGCATGCGCAAGAGTGTTATGTCGTCGGTCGCTGCGAGCCAGTTGTAAACAGAGCAGCATGGTAGAAAGAACGCACGCTAAAGCTTGGGTCCACTTCACTAAAT